ACTTGTTCAACGGGAGGGAAAAGAGGACTGGGAGAAAAGAGCTGGGATTCTCTTATTCCCTCCTCTTGAACAGGTCGGCATACACTCTCTCCCCTGTAGCTTTGGCTGTACTGCACGGTGTGAGTGAGACCGTATAGTTTTTGTGGCTCCGCTACTTTTCGGTGGCAACTGAGGACGGCCAAGGACCTCCCGTTCCCATTTCGACCGATGACTAAGATAAGAAGCCAACATGGTTTGCGAAACTATCGCAAGAAAAAATGTGTCGACACCTGCCCTGCACCAGAGGACGGACTCGCTGTGACAGGTGTACCGAGAATGGGCTTTTAATGAAGAAGGTTCGTCCACAGCGTCAGGGGAAACACCTCGGATGGCTCCGTGATATGCCCCGTTTCGGGTGTCTGCCTTCCGATGATCAAGGCGCCGTACACGGTAATGGCAGGGTTCGCAAGAAGCACCAGGAGCCTCACGGGCACCATTCCTAGCCTGTCACTTCCTACCTTTGGTGGATGCGTGACTTTTTTGCGTCGCTCTTAGCGATCGACATTGCCATTGTTCCGTGTCGGCGAACAGTCGGCACAAAGGCTGGGTGATGTTTGTACGGCTGTGGTTTTTCTGTCTAATAAGCCGGCAATGTAACAATCGCGCAACTTTCTAGCGTGCTTTTCTGAGTTGCGACTGAAGCAACTGACCTGTGACGAAATGAGCTCCGCACACTCTAAACGACTTTATTTTTGCAGGCTCAATATTTTGCAAATTTCGAGAATATTTCACAGGCAGAAAACTTTACAACTAAGAGTGGTTAACTGTGTATTCTCTACTATATAGTGTGACATACCCGTCTTGGGTTAATCCCCGAAATGGGGCGCTCGGGCCCAACCCAAGATCCGGCCAGGTGCGCGCGCGCGGGTGTGTGGGTGTGTGTGCGTCATTCAAGAGGAAGCAACGGGCAGGGACTCATCGCGGCATGCTTCGGAGTAGGCACCCCTCCCCCCCCCCTTTTTCCTGCGCTTGAAATGGACGACCCTGTGGGAACAAAAAGGGAAGAGAGGGGACCAAGAGGCCAGACGGGCCAGGGGCTGGGCGCACGGCAGGGTGCGAGGAGAAGAGGGGACGGGACGGCCTGGTGGCAGCGAGAAGAGGAGACATTGAGGGACAAGAGCAAGGAAAGACTGACTTCCATCGTCGGGGGAAACTCGACGCGCCTTCTCCGGGACGAAGACATCACCAAGTACCTGCCAAGCGCCTCAGCGGACGACCAGCACCAAACTGTGAGTCGTCCAGGGGACTTAATCACAGACTCTTCTTACAACTTTAAGCGCCGTTTTATTGTTTAGTATAATGTGAGTGTTTTGATGTGCCTACTCCGAAGCATGCCGCGATGAGTCCCTGCCCGTTGCTTCCTCTTGAATGACGCACACACACCCACACACCCACACACTTGCGCGCGCGCACCTGGCCGGATCTTGGGTTGGGCCCGAGCGCCCCATTTCGGGGATTAACCCAAGACGGGTACGTCACAATAGTAATATATTTGAGGTAATATTTAAGCCGAGAAATTCACGAACATTAGGATCTCCTAAAATTTAATTGTTTGCAGTAGTCAGGTATGCTCATATGCCTCCCAAGCCTTCGTAGGAATAGAGTTAATATAATTAATCTAAAGAAAACGGTCCCATGCATTGGGGCCGCTTGGAAACGTCGGGGCATAGACATGGACATCGGCAGTCCCGACAGGCCACTATGACTGGCAATGCCTTAATATGTACAAAGAAGCATCAAAACATCACCTTTAAAAGGGCACTCAAATGGTTTTTGGGGAAGCTACTTTTTGGTGCGATGGCATTAAAAAAGTGTCAGTGAATGAGTATCTTCAGTTTTAGAAGGCAGAACCGCCTATTAATCATGCAGGAATAAAATATGTGTGGACTCTTTTCTGTTTCTGCGCCGACCAATGAAATTATTGTATGCTTGAAAATTTTGGCGGCCTTTGTAAAGTTTCGCTAAAGGAACAATTTTCAGTTCATTTAGATATGTTGTGCATGATAATTTCACAAGACGTAAAATAGTTCTAGCTTAGAATACGCCAGGGCCGTAACCGGGGGGAGGGGGGGGGGGGGGGGGGGGGGGTTAGGGGGTTCCGATCCGCCCCCGAAATTTTTTTATAGGTACGGCCCTGGTCGGTGCACTTGCAGCCAGCCGATTTTAATCTCCACCTCTGCGCACGCGCAGTGGCGCCGGTCGGCTACCGGGTACCAAACCGGGACCGGTTCTCCGGTTTGCTATAACTTTCCATTATATGCCACCGATGCACATGATTCATAGGCGAAAATAAGACAATAGACATTTTCAAAATGGCCGCCGTTGTCCCCGAAACCCCCCCCCCCCCCCCCCCCCCCCCCCCGAAATTTTTTTCTGGGTACGGCCCTGGAATACGCGACACTACAATTATCGTTTCACAAACAAGGGACTACGTTTTCTTCTTGCCTTCCTCCGCGGGGGGTGAATTTCCCGTTCCCTCAGGATGCGCGGAAGCGCACATATCATGAACTGCAAACATGGCGTCGGTGGTAATCGTCGACGTGGACAGCCTGGTGAAAGCTCATCGTTCCGCGTAAAAGCGCTAACCTTGACTGTGAAGTTTCATCGTCTGTCGCTATGATAACCCAGCAAGTACTAGAAGGGAACATCTGCCTACTCGTGCGGCGATGTCGTGGCGGCACTCACAGCAGAAACGCCTGTGCCGTTGTGTTTGTTTACTTCGACTACAGTGATGCTTTCTAAGCATTTGTGTCCTCAAACATGCGTATGCTCATGTTCAAGGTATTACTGGCACGTACCGTATAAAGGATGCGAATTTTCATGCGTTTTCATCACCGGAAAAAAAGTGATTAGTGTTAGCAATCCTGAACGCTCGCAACGTCTATCTGATCACGAAATCATATTTCTATGTTGCTATATCGCTGCTAAGATTACATTGTCTTTTATAATCGTAGAAAAGGCATGTGGCGATATTTGTACTATTGGCAAAGTCGTGTATTAGAGTCATGATCGTCTAAGACAGCGTACTGTATCTTTTTCTGTTTTTTTTTCATCCACTGTACCCTACTAGCTTACCATGAAAAACCATGAAAAAAAAATAAAGCTTTAGGCTATAGAAAACTGTCTGTCTATATTCTGTTACGGCATTGAGTGGCAGTGCGTCCCCTTTTCAGAGGCGACGCTGAAACAGCTGACGGCAGCATAGAAGCAGTCGCCTTGCTGACGACCCGATGCGCTTGTTGCAGTGGTTGCGGTAAGGCGCAGAGCGGTCATTCCAGTCGCAACGAACCCAGTCGCAACGGATGCAGTCGCAACGGACGCAGTCGTAGGTAACGCGCTTGTTGCAAAAGTCTGAACCAGCCTTCCCCGTCCTCCCGAAGTGAAAGTCAACGTGGCGACATTGTTTGACATCACGTACCAGAGGTTACGCTGGTATGCCAAACGTTGGTTTGGTTACGACTTGCCCCAACCGCAAATCGAGGAACGCCCGGAAAGGTCTGCGTTTCGTCGTCCTCGGAACCCGAATACGACTTCGAGGCACTGCTATTGTCCACATCGCACGTCGGAGTGGCGTCATAGGAAATCATCCCCAGGTTGGCTGTCCGCCAAAGAATGTCAACCTCTAACGGCGTCAAGTCCTCGAGCGTAGAGAACTCCGCCATGATTGAAGCTCGAATGAAGAAGAAGTTCGGCCGGTGCGGCTACCTCGGGATCGCTGCGCGACGGAACGTCGTTCAACGCCATTGGCCCAAGATCATTTTGATATGCGTGCAATGACTAATGAGTGTGGCTTCGTTTTCGGATGGATCCGAGGTTTGGCGGCCTTCAATTACATTTTTATTAAAGAAAAAATCACCAGATGACTGTATTTTTGGGTTTTTAAGAATACTTAGGGCGTCTAAATTCAGTTGTCATCATCAAAACACGAACTCAAAAACCACTTGAGTGCCCCTTTAAAGGTCGGTGCTTGGTTCTTTGCTAGCCTACTTTGCAGGAAAACACCGGAACTGAGCACTGCATAAAGCTAAGTCGATAAGTGCGCGAGCAACTTCAAGTCGTGATGGCAATACGAATATGTGCAAGCTTTCGTCTGTTTTCTTTCTACGCTCTTATTACTCTCTTTCTTTCTCAGGACCGCCGGTGTCAGCACCCAGAAATATACGTATTCTGCTACTTTTTTATTCCCCTTTATGTACAGCCTGACGAGTCAACGGCCTTCACTGCGCAAACTCACGCCGCTCTCCCATCAAAGTCAAATTTCTAAAGGAGAAATCCGAAAAAAACTCGTCCCCTCCCCTGGCTTGTGCCGATTCCGACATCCAAGTGCAACACAGCACATTGAAACATTGGCATCTTCCAAGCACACCGGAAACCGCACGGTGCCGCTCGCGTCAAACAAAAATGTAGCCTTCTTTTCCACCCACCCTAATCCGACCTGGCAACACGCACATTTTGTGGTCTCCAACGGCAAAGTCGGAAAAGGTTGGACTTCTAGGCAATTGTGCTGGATACGTGAAACGTTCCCGCATCACAAACGTTTAGCGATACACTGAGTTTCCCGATGCAAGACACCTACCTTCACGGCATTCTTCATTAGATCATTTTTACGCTGCACTGTGGACAGCTTCACAAACTTCTGTATCTGTGTACGCACCTAAAGACGCGACTGGTGAGGTCGCAGCGACCCCATCGAGCTACGGTGGCAGAGAGGCACTACCTCCATTGTAAAAACCGCAAGAAAGAGTGCATCGTTATTCTACCGCGGCCCTGGACCAGACTAGCGACCCAGAGCTCAAGCTGACTGCAGAGCATCCTCTCAAAGTCCGCGCCTGCAGGGCTACTGTGCCACGCGCTAAAACGAAACTCTTATGGAGCAGCGCGTGCAGTTGCGCGTGCTGCCTCCTTCCGTGATGATTTAAAGGCAACCGAATGCAGGGTGACAACATAAATCCCGCGTTTACCTTCGTGCCTCCCCACGCAGGGGTCTTGCGACTGCACTGCGGACTCGCCGGGAGCTCTTGCGTAGTTGAACACGGTGGGCACGAAGTCAGGACGGTCCTTGAAGTTCGATGGCCGCCCTAGAATTCAGCGCCACGTTATAATCGAGCAAAGCTCGCCAGAAGCTTACAAAATCGCACCTGTGATGAAGTGCGCGCTGCAGATCTGGCAGTCCTTGCTTGGCTCCCACAGCGAACCGTCCGGGTGCACTCCCCTCACTGCAGCCACCCAAGCGGCTCTCTTCTCGGGATACAAGAGTTTCGACGGAAATCTAAACACATCCCCGGTGACTTTGCGGTAATGGTGATTGGTACAACTACAAACGACACAAGAAGCTGACATTATCAGTTGTCACTGTCACAAACTTTCGTTGAACGTTGGTTACATGGCTGGTTCACTGGCTCGGCGGCTCGGCCAGCTCGGCGGCTCGGCCACGGCTTCGACCGCTTGGCTCGATGGATAGATGGGTAAAGCCACCAAATGGCCATCTTGCTCGTAGACAATTTGCGGTTCTGCTAGCGTTACAGAGGCTGGCGGCAGCGTGCTGGAGACATGTTTTCTACTCGAGCGTCGTCATTCGTCAAAAAATGTTTTTTAAACCCTGTGTAAGGGCTGAGACTTTCCGTTGGAAATAAGTGAAAAGTTTTACGAAAGCGCAGTGCAGTAGAAAAAAGCTAGAACATATATAAAGGTAGAAGAGTAGTAAGTTGGGTGAGTTGGTAAACGTTGAACACGGTTCAACGTTTACCAACGTTTAACCATGTTGAAGATATATAAGCATAAATGAACATGTTCAACATGTATATGTTGAACCATGTTCAACATATATAAAGGTTTTGACAGGTTAAGAAAGTAGTGGCAAATGCCCCTCAAAGGGAATCATATATCCCTCCGTCACCTCCGGATCCAATTGACCCCGTAAGTGATGACGTCACAACATGGCGTCTGGGTCCAAACAAACCGTTGGTAGGGACGTTGCTATGGACTAATGCATGGAGACTCCACACGAGGCTAGATTTTCGCTTATAAGTAAGTAAATAATTTTTTGTAAGCAACCTTACTTCTTGATATCTAATTATGAAGATGTTCTTGCCATTTCAGCGTCGTATTGCAACGATCGAAGCCATTTCTGAAGTATTCTACTCCGCTTTGCTTTGGTAGCAGACGACACGATAGATTTGCTGGCCTCTGTTGCAGCGGGCGTCTTCATTGAATTGCGTCGGTAAACGAAAAACACAAGCAAGTGCATCGCCATGGCCGCAAAAACCTCCGCAATGTGCGGTTTTTTTTTTTTTTTTTTTTTTTTTTTTCTGTAAGAACCCAGCTTAGTTCAGAGGGGCGAAAATTCCGTAAAATCAAACCACGTCATGCAGATCAGTTACGACGCCGACCTGAAGTGCATTACCGGCGTAGTGCAGGCCAGCATGAGAAACAAATCGTACGCCGTCGAGGTAAGTCGTTTGTTATTATTATTATTGAGATTGTCAGGTTATTAAAATGTTGCATGGTCTATCGCAATTTCGCTTTTTTTTTGTATACATTAAATTTAGTGGATTTGCTCTTTCGGTGAAGATCTCCATCAAACCCGCGATGAGAGTACAATCAGTAATAAACTCACCTTATGTTTTTTATCCAATTCTTTCGCGTTTCGGGGTTGTGCGGAAATCTGAAGAAACTGCACGAATCTTTCTCCATGCGATGGTTACGGATGGTTACGACCAGGTACGAAGCACCCTCCCACAGCGCGAGTCCGCAAACAAAATTTTGAATCTCTACCGATCACCTGAAGTGCTTTCCTCACGGGTGCATTGCGATCTTTTAGCAGACGATCATCTAGATCGACGCCCGGACTTTCGATAAACCATATTTTGCATCGTACCCCACTAAGAATTCTTATAAGTGTCTGAAACTCATATTTCAAGCAAACGCAATATCAGAATATCGTCTTTATTCACCCGATTCAGACGCCGGTGCCGGCTTGGCGGGCGGGCGTGTGGCAGACGGCATTTTTCTTGCATTCGTCGTCTGCTGCAGGCATCTTGAGGACCGGAAGTTGCAGTCGTAAATATTTCAGAAACAAGCGATTACCGGCACACTTCTGTCGAAACATATATAACATTCAAGCTTTCTATATCTGTGATTTTTAGAAGTTTAAATCATACTTCCGATTTTTGAACGGTCGGGTTTTCGTAGCGAAACCTAGCCACGTGTGTTTGTCTATAACAACGACCCTAGCAACGGCTTGTTTGGACCCATGACGTCATACTTACGGAGTCAATAACGTCCCATCGTTTTCGTGACGTCGCGGCCAACGCGCGAGGAGGGTCTTGCCTTTCTGTGCATATTTGCTTTATCTTTCGACTTGACTTAGCATTGTGGAAGCCACGAGAGGGAGATTAGAGATTTCCCCCTTCGATGGAAACAAATACGACTTTCGGGGATTAGCCTCCCCCTCCGATGGATACAAAGGCTGTGTTCCAAAATTTACTCGATCCGACTCCGGAGTAAAAGTTTCATACCGTGGCGTTCCAAAACTTACTCGAGCTTACTCGATGACGTCAGAACTCGCGTTCCAGAAGCGGGTTGTTTACTCCGGAGTAATTACTCGCGCTACCCTCCTCGATCGGGGGGTAAAGTCGGATCAAATCGAGTAAATACGTCACGTGATCTGTTCGTCGTCTGCTTTCTGCGCCGATAGCCGTCAAGGCTCGCTTGCTCCGCTGGTTTTGGTGGCGGACGTTCGAAATGACAAAGAATTAGCTGCAGCATGTGTGGTTATTGCGATTTGCTGTTGTCAACGCAGGAATTGACTGCATTACATCCAGACCGTCCACCTTCCCCGGGAACGTGTACTTGTTATTATCTGAGTGCGAGCGTAAGCAGGAGCTTCTCCGCATCCTCGTCCTCGGCGTTGGGGGAATGCCGTAATCTCACGTTCAAGGCCGAAAATGTTTGAACTCGGTATATGATAATGTAATATTTTTGTTTCCTCTAGAGTCTGTGTAATGAGAGGATAACGTTTGTAAAGCAGTGAAGGCTTCGAAAATTTCACTGTAATCACATTCGCGCCAAAGCGAACGTGAGTTTCATATCATTCTGGAGAAAGCACCCCCGCGCTGTACCGCTACACCTTGTGGAATATATTTCTGCAAAACATAATCGGTGCAAATTACAATGCGTGGAATATATGCGTTTAGGGCACCGTGACTAGAATTGCAGCGATCGCGCTGATTAATAAAAACACATTTTTTAATGTCTAGCTGTAAGGAGTAAGTAATTTTGATCTGAATATACAGCTCAAAACGAAGGTGAGTAAAAGGAGCTGGTGGATCCACCTCAAAATACACCGCGTCGTCATTAACATTACCGTTCTTCGGGTGCTTTCTCCATGATCAAAAGGATCGTCTGCTATTTTCTGCCATCGCTGCTGTGTTTTCTTTTTGCCGTCGCCCAAGACGAAGCCAATCCGCGTAGTATCCAGGTGATTATCCTGGCCGTTCCAAAATCGAGTCGCGGATCGTTTACTCGCGATGTCACGTGGTATTACCCGCTGACGTAGGAGGCAGGTTACTCGGGTAAGATTTGGAACATAGCCAAAGGCTGCTTTCAGGGGCTCGGTTCCTCCTCCAATGAAAACAAAGGTCGCTTTCTTAAAAAGTGGGGGTCGAAGACAAGTTGGCACCACTCTGTGGCAATTATCTATCCATTGAAGCGGAACAAGGAGCGTTTCCTCTAGTGAACTTTTTTTTCGACTGCGGAGGGATTTGAAACGGGCGCATCATGCTTGTGGGAGGAGCTTCTCTATACCTTCTTGACTTGTAACCGACTATAGTAAACAAAACAAAACAAAATAAAAGGCGCCGCTGATGCCGTCAACAGACACTGAATGAAGCTTGTTTCTGGACCGCGAGTGCCGCAAGTTACAAATACAGTAGTCAGGATAAAAGCAAAACGCTGCCCAGTGGTACATATGCGGCTTCACGCACATTGCACTCGCAAAACACATCCACCGAGCGCCGAAGTACGAATCTTGATCAATATTCAAGCGTGCGAATGCACAGAAACACAGCACTTCGGCGGGTTAAAGAAGCTTTGATCAGGCCGCGAGACCAGCAAGACTTGCTTTCGACGAGTTTCACGCTTCACGCTAATTGCACTCGCAAAACATATCCACACGGCGTCGATTCTTGATCGGTATACAGAGTGTCGCAAAAGAAAATTTACAAGGTTTTTTTCACCGCAAATGTAAACTAGGCATCGCCGAACGCTCATTCTCCGCCCAAAGGTAGCTCTAGATGTCACAACCAGATGCCAAAGTTTCAGCCCAAACCGATACCTTAATAAAAAGTTCTAAGTGATTTTCTGAAAATTTTAGTGAGAAAATGGTGGCCGACGGAGTTTTCGAATGCATGGGGCTCTATGGCACCAGAAACCGAAAACGAGCAAAAATAGGCTCCATTTTTCCATTGAAATTTTCAGAAAATCGCTTATAACTGTTGATTGAGGCATCTGATCGGGCTGAAACTTTGGCATCTGGTTGTGACCTCTAGCGCTACTATTGAGCGGAGAATGAGCGTTCGGCGGTGCCAGTTTATTTTTGCGATGAAAGAAACCCTGTAAATTTTCTTTTGTGACAGCCTGTACAAGCGTGCAAAGGTACAGAGACGCAGCACTTCGGCGTGTCAAGGAAGCTTTGATCCCGCCTCGAAAACGGCGAAACTTGCTTACGGCGAGTTGTGCCTTTTTCCTGCGGCACTGCCTTTCCTAAATTGTTCTACGTGTTCGCAACGGCAAGTCTCAATGCTTACACGAGGTCTTAAAATCTTCTTCGGCGAATGACGACGAACGAGGAGAAAACGTGTCTATTGAATGCTGCCGCCAGCCTCTGCAATGCTAGCAGAACTGCAAATCGTCTAGGAGAAAGATGGTCGTTTGGTGGCTTCACTCGCACTGCAGCATGCATTCTGTCTCTTCGCTGGAAAATACCATGGAACACTTTAGATATTTGGGTTGTACCGAATACTATGTCCCTTGATAAACATTGTAAATGTGAAATTGCTTTCATTAGCGCATTTTTCTTCATCAGTGAACGATGTTTAACTTCGTTACATTTCAGTCCCATACATGTGTTCCGCAGCAGGCGTGTAAAAACAAGCGACGATTCAAAGCGAAATAACAATCGAAAGAAATAGAGAGTGAAAGTGAAGAAGGGTGTCAGCACGAATCGCGTCTCGCCCTCCCGCGGCGGAAACGGGAAGCGCTCCAGTGAGGCTCCCCGATTCTCCTGTTCAGCGGGCACGGCGGAACTGCGCGCAATCATGGCTCGCGAAATGTCATTTCCGAACGCAAACAACTCTCTTCACTGTCCCAACGTAGTGCTGCAGCCGGTATGGGATTGTACTTGAGAGT